ATAGTTTGGCAAAAACAATGGAAATTGTGTCATGTGAGGTGTTGAGGTGTTGTGGTAGTCTAAAAATCAGCAATCTTGTTTGCTTACAAAGAGTTTAAAGACTTGCCATTATGTCAAGATGATTGTGATTTTTTTTTTTTAATACTGCAGCCCATCTGCCACTTTTGTGTTTCATAGTAATTAAGCCTTCAAACAAACAAAAAGATCTATCTGTCTGTCTATCTATATTATTTAAGATACTTTTGCACCTGGACCCAAATTTATATCGGGTCATGATCACTCCTTTCTTAGCTTTCTTCTGCATGTCCGGTAATAGTTGGCCATTGATTATGTCGGGAATCCCAAGGTGATGCATTGGCTGAGCTTTGGGTGAAGCCGTTGGTCTGCTGCTGCCACAATCCATCTATAATTTCCTCAGGAAAATAGCTTAAAGCCTTGATATTGTCAGTGAGATTTCTCTTGAATCACAGGTCTGTTCATATCAGTGTGTGACAGCTTGTTCTATTCAGAACAGGGTCTTTCTGTTTTATTTTTAAATTTAAGTTTTGCAGTATTGAGAAGATGTCTGACAGCCGGTGATAGTTACTTTTGTTAGTAAGATGAAGGATTAGGAATATTTCTAGACTTTTTTTTTTTTATATCTTTAAAAACTGTTTGAAGAAGAAAAACACTGCTTATTGAATTGGTAGTTCTTGTGTCCTGAATTCATTTCTCTCCCTCTCACCTTCTGGATGAGGAATGTAGATGAATCTAGGAGCTTCATTTTTCAAAGACTTGGCTTCCCCAAGTCTTTATTTTCCTTGGCCTGAGGAGCTTTCAAGTGAGAAGCAGAATTACTGTCTTCTTCAGTGTACTGGAAATCATGACAGGCTGCTATGGTGTTCTTGGCTGTCTCTGCTGATAAAATGTATCTTTTAAAAACATTTTTCTTTGAAGCTACCCAAGCTGCTTCACTTATTTAGGCAAGACGCCTGTGTAAACAGGCAAGTAATTGCATCAATACTTCCTTGCCGATGATAAACAGTGGGAAACACTAATGATGAGGAGGTAGGAATGGAAGGCCTCTTCCCAGGGCAAAACCGACTAGGTGAAAATTTTGAATCCTTTGTCCACACAGAGAAGAGTCACAAGACTAAGTCCTATTCTTGTGGATTGTCAAACCTGATATGCAGTTGAGGGCATTCCCTATTTGGTCATATGGAAAGGTTAACTTTTATGGATATAGTAGATGAAGCAGTGCTTGAGGTTATGAATATTGTGTCTATTAAAAGGCTTTGGAAAAAAATCTAAAATGTCCAGAAATCAGTTTTACCTGATGTAATGATAATCTTTTAGAAGGAAAGGAGGAGAAAGCTAACTCTGGAAAATAGCTGCAAATTGCTTTAAGTAGGAATACCAGAAAACCTTATTTTCTGAGGACTGAAAATAAGATTTAAAAAATTAAAAACCTTCAATTTTTTCTCAGAGCTTCTTTTTTTAAAAAAACGCTTTTAAATTGAAACTTGTCAAAATGCTTATTTCTAATGACTGTGCTGTATCACTATTTTTAATATTAAACGTTGGAAGTTTGAGCATTTTAGTATTGCAAGCAGGATTAGTCTGGTGGAAGATGAGTTATCATATTTTGTAGCTCATAAGATTGAAACTTGTTTTCTTCGGCGTAAAATTCTTATGAGCAGAGCATCATTAGCCGAAGTTTATTTTTTAGTACTTGCAATGTCAGACCAAGTTTGACCAGTAGAGGGCAATAGGCAAGTGCGTGCACACGTGCTTTGCTCGGGAAGCCCTGCTGGGATCAGGTTGGTAGGTGGTTTGTGGTTAGGATTTTCGTTGTTTTTTTTTTCATGGTGGTGGTGAGAATAGATTTCTGGACCCAGCTGTCCACAGGAAGCGCTGCAGCATTGCTTAATTACAGTTCTTGGACTTCTCTCCATTCTCCTTTTGGCTTCCCCATCTTGTTTCCCTTTCAGTATAGGTGGCATTGCAAATCCTCAGAGAACTAACTATCCAGAGGATTAGTAAAGATTTCTTGAGCAGCAGAGAGCTAAAATAAATCCTAGACAAAGATATTTTAAATCTCTAACACAAATTCGGTTTGACAGACTTCCTTCAGCCTTGTCTTGTCTATAGAACTGCTGATTTTCAACTTGAAATATATTTCTATTCAGGATAACATATGGACAAAAACAACCAGCTCTAACAATCTTTTTATTGGAGACATATATTAACAGTTATCTGAAGAGTACATTTTAGTCCTTAAGGTTTTATCTCTTGCCAATCTGACATGCTGTATTGTCTGACAGCTCTCTCAACGTTTCTTTTTCAGTCTGAAGCTCAGAGTAGCAGTGCAGTGGCTGGGCAGGAGCGTCCTCCAGCTGTGTCCAGCACCACCACCTCGATGAGTCCTCGGCAGCGCCGTGCGCAGCAGCAGAGCCAGAGACGGGTCCCAACTTCAGGCGACTTCAACCGGGCACAGCAGCCGAGAGTCAACACCAACCACACGGGCTCAACTGTGCTCATTGTCCTGCTGACCTTTGCGCTGGCAGCTCTCATATTTCGCAGAATATGTTTGGCTAACGAGTATGTATTTGAGTTATAAGGTTATTTGTCCTAATAGCAGTGACTTGAATGCTTCACTGAACATTCTGTATTGGCTAAGACATGAGAACTGTTTACAAAGGTTACTTTTTGTATTTACGCTTAAATCCTTATGAATGTTTATGTACCTACAGATACATTACTTGTAAAAAAGTTGGACATGTAAACTATGAGTTTTAATGGAGTGCCCACTAGATACTTGGAGAAGCAATGCAGTGGAATAGTAACATTAAGGCGTGTGGGATGGGCCTAAATTTGAGTAATTTATAAACTAGAAAAAGACGATTTTTAAAAAATGGTTGATTAAATTTTTTATGGGGCATAAATGCCCATGTAAGTACCCCATCTAAGTTAGTATAAGATTTGACATTGGAGAAGGAATTATAAAATGAAACACTACTATGTGTTTGTGTCTGGTGAACTCTTAATTTAGAGGGAATACGGTTTTGTAACCACTTTAACCACTTTTATTTGCCATGACACATTTCCAGAGGAAAAACACATACAAATTGGTTGTGATGCTACTTTGTGTGTGTGGAAGGGGGAAAGGATTGTGGGAGGAAAGCAGGTGCCAGAAAACTACTTGCATTATTTTGATTTTTGTTTTTTGGAAGAAAGATTGGATAATCTTTTGAAAGATTTGAATGTCCTCTTCTAGTACTTTCAACTGTATATCTTGTTTTTAAAATTTGAAGATTATGCAAAACACGTCTATTCTTGCAATAGTTATAAATATGTAATATAATTATTTACCCAGAGCTGTTGTCTTTTAATTATACCAGAAATATACATAATGTGTTGAACTGAATGTTTCATATGTGGTTTTATTTACTAAAGAAAATTTAAACCTTATTATACTTAAATTCTCAGATATATATGAACATGCTTAAGAGAAGTATTTATTACAATCCTGCTAGTAATAAAGTTTCAAGCCAGTCTTTGGGTATGTTTCAAGTATCACAAGGCAGTTTGTTTCTTGTTTGTCTGAAGGTTTTTTTGGTTGGGTTTTTGTAAGGGGCTTTCTTTTGGTTGGTTGATTGGTTTTTTTTCTTGTTTTTTTGGGGGGGGGGTTTCAGTTTGGTCTATTTTTTATTTTTTTAACCTAAAATCAATATTTTGCACCCAGTGATCTATTTATTATAAGTCCCTGGTAATATTCATGAATACTGTGAAAAGGCATATACAAGTAGTAGACCTACAATTGTTAGGGTTTTGAGAAGTTTTGTCTTTGACTGTTTAAATACTGAAGTAAAAGAAAGTGGGATAATTTTCCTCTTGTATTATTGTTCAGCATGTTTGTTTCAAAGACAAGGAAGTTTAGCTAGCTTTCATTTTGTTGCTATCAAACATAGTAGCACTGATTTAAGTGAGATTCTCATCCTGTTTCTCAGCAAGTGTTTATCAAGCTACCTAGAGCTTTCCTAAATTTTGTCAACTAAAATATATATTACTGTTTTGCAACATTAAAGTAGCTATAACAACTTCTAAAATAAGGGAAACACATTTTGTGTCTAAAGGAGATGTGTTAGTATGGAAAAACCCCAAAATCTGAGACTTTTAGCATTACTCTGTATTGTTGATAAATCTTGTTTGCAGGTATAATTGAAAAAAGGTGGGGAAAAAAAGTTTTATAAGAAGTTCAGACAAAAGTATGTATTTGTTCAGCAGTTAGACTTTCTGCTGCAGACCAATTTGATGTCAATTTATTAACTAACATCTTTTTACCTAATTTGTCTATTTCATTAGAAACTAAATAAAAACAAAAACCAATACACAGTTCCCCCCTAAAAAAGCCCACACCACAACCCTAAAAAAACAGGTTTAGATTCTGTAGCCTCTAAAATAGAAGCACTGTTTCCTTGTTGGTGCAGTGCTTGAATCCCTGTTCAAGTACTGCAAACATGGGTTCACAGAGGTGAGTTCTGGAAGAGGTCTGACTCACAAGACTGTTCTACTGGGTTTTGGGTTCCCTGCTCCTCTGGAGTCTTTGCTCTGAATGTGCTTTTGTTGTCCTGCAGAATCTCTGCTGTGCCAAGCAGACTTCTGCCCCCTAGGAAGGCGTACCACACACTGGCTCTTGTTAGCACAGCCCGGTGTTGCAGAGAGACCAAATCAGCATTGCCCTGTGACCAGGCTCGGAGGAAATAAACCTTGAATGGATTTTGGAAACAGCTTCTTAATTGTGATTAAAGAAATAAAAAGAGAAATAGCTGCTTTTAATTTTAGTTTTGATCTTATTTGATAAAAGTTAAAATGCCTGATTATGCAAATGCCTTTTGGAAAAAAAATGGTGATGTGGTTTATGTAAAGGTAATTGAATGTATGGAGTGGGAGTTATTGTTTTAATTTTCCTTTTAAGTTAATGGTAACCAAAGTTACTGTTTTCAACTTTTTTCAGAGGAAGTAGCTCATATTCTGTCTTCAACAATATGAAAAATCAGACAGAAAATAAAACCTCAACTGCCCTAAATCCATTAAAATACATACATTTTACAATGAGATACATGTCTGAAATGCAGCACAAGCAGTTACCAGTTGAAAAAGATGCTGTACAGAGGATCAAAAAATGTAGAAAGCCTAATGAAAAGGGACAGCCTGGTTTTACAGTCTGGCAGGGGGATAGCACTGAGATTAGGGGATTGAGCAAAAAGCCGGCGTGCAGAATTGCGGGTTTTTATATAATGGCTTTAGTGAGTATCCTTTAGGACCCAGTGGAAATGTTCGGTGAGGCAAACTTGGTGAGTAATGGCCAATCATTAAGCGGTGATGAGGGAAAAGCGCCGAGTGCGAAGCCCCGGAGAGCCTGTCGAATGCACCGCGCCGGGAGCGCAGCGTTTCTGCCGCTGATCGCCGACCAACACGACACGCCAGAATTAGAGTTGATTCAATGTTCAAGCCCGGGGGGATTTGTGCTACAGGAGGTCACTGGAGTGCAGAGTGCCCGGCTCCCATTTCCAGCAAGATGCCTTATTTCGCAAAACTCCTTTTATTAATCTTCTGCTTAGTTCTTCTTGTGGAAAGCAGAAGGCACAGGAGGAGGAGGTGGACGAACCATTTGGATGTGCAGAGGGCAAGGTAAGGGTTACTAAACCATGTATGTATCTTTTCCTGCAGTGTTACAATTACATTACTACAGAGATACAAAAACCTACTCTGTCAATGTCTTCGTGGATATTGTATGCAAACAGCTTTACATATGATGTTCTTATAACAGTCTCTGGTGGTATAATCAGTTTTGTGTCAGTGGACACTTCTGTTGCTAACCTCGATTAACAATGAGTGAGGCAGGTTTTGAACTTCAGCCTGGATTGTGGCAAAATTGTTCTTAGCCGTACATGCAAATTTCTGCGAGAATTCAGAGGACTTGCAGTGAATAGAGATGTTCAAATGTGCATGCAGTTTAATATTTCAGCACTGTTTCGGGCAGGTTATTCATGTGCTTGCTGGAATGTCTTTGTTACTTATGTTCACTTGGAATTGTCTGTTATGTTCTGACAATTTGAGATGGGGATGTTGGTTAGCATACATCGTGGTAATTGATAACAAACCCTGGAAGTTAGCCTAGGATTGCAAAATTATTTTTTGAAGAAATACATGGGTGCTTTAAAAGTGTATTTTAAAGTTAAGTGAAAGCACAAGAATGAGTTAAAGGTCTTAGTAAAGTTTATTAGATTTACCGCTGCTGAGATTTGTCTGGAGGTTTACATTGGAAAAGATAATCTTCCAAACCTGCCAGACAGTCCAAAGTATGTTATCCTTTTTTGTGGTTATGTCATCCAGTGGCAATTATATCTTACAAGACTATTCATTGTTTAAAGGGCTCAAAAATAAAATTGGGTTAATCCATCTTATTAAATGGTTTCACTATGGCTGTAAACTTTCAGATTTTCATTTATTTTTGTGGACCTTTTGGTTTATCACTCAACACTTTTATAGGGAGTGTTGTTACTTGAATGTTTTAAAAAGAAATATGATGTAATTGGAAGCAAAGAAAACATAGTATGTTATCAGATTTACACTACTTATTGAAAAAATAGTGGCATATGCTTTTAGTGACGTAAATGTCAAAAAGCTGAAACAGCCAGGGCCTGATCCTGAAATCCTAAAGTCAACTGAAGTTTTACCACTGATGTTCACAGAATCTCAATTATTGAATGCGATCTTTCAATGGATTCTGAAAATATTCCAAAATCTATATTCTGAGGAATGTGGAGGATTGAACAGTAGTGTTTCCTTGTAAACCTTTCTGAGTAGTAAAGATCATGTGCTTTGAAGTAATAATGTAAATCCTTCTTTAAATATCAATTTGCCCTGAAGTAGAGCTATTCCCTGCTGTAAAAGTTTTGTGCTAATTTGAACTTGGAGAAAATAATTTACAGTTTCTACAGTGCTGATACTGTCATGAGTTTTAACAGAGTGGACGTCAAAGCACTGCTAAAATTATTTTTATAAATGTACTATAAAGAATACTGTTTAGTATTCTGTGGTATAATGATTTAAATGAACTATTTTCCATCTAGGTGAGATCTGAGGAACTATATGCTATATATATACACATACACCACATACACACACAATTCCTATGCAATGTCGTTATTTTAAAGTTTATAAAATCAGGTTTTAGGGGTTGTCAAATGAGAATGACATTTTAAATACATAGAATTCTGCAATGTTGCAACAAAAAGTATTGTACGGAACAATGTTTTTAATATTTTTATTTTTGTATTCAATTGTATTTCAATTTTTATACTTCAAGATTCAATTATATTTATTTTAAATGTTGTATTCATTATCGATTACATAGGAAAAAGTCTGTTGTCCCTAAAACAACAATGAATAGTGGACTATTCTAATAAAAGGAAACTAAAACTAGTTCCTAGGCTGTTTTCCTAATCATGTAAGAGATATTAAAAGAATGATCTTTTAAATTATTTCATCACAATTTCTGCTTAGTGTTTCTCTTGCTGACTTACCATAAAAAATATAGTAAATTTTACAGTAACCTTTTCTTATTCAAGAAAATGTATTCCTATATTTGGGAATCTAAAGTTGGTAAGTTTGATATTTTACGTCCACTGAGGTGATGAATCAGCCTGATCTAAAGATCAGTTTTATATAGACTTCAAGAATATAAACTTGGGTTGTGCAGGTGCAGAACTCCTTCAGTGCTGTAGTTTGTTACTTGGACATTGCACAGAGGTTCCTGGAGCCCTGGGAGCTTGGGGTGGCTCGTCCTGCCGGTTGTGGGACAGCTCTCTGCCACCATTCTGTGGAGAAGTTGCTGAGCCTGTGCCTAAGTGGGCAAGGAACATGGGGAAAGTCAGGTTAGGAAGCCAAATTAAGGATTGCCAGTTTAAAGGGCTGCCTGTGCATCCTTAATTACTCCCTGTTGCTTGTGTTAATACATTGTAACACTGTTTTTTTTCGGTGAGCAGTGCCCCGCTCAGCATGCTGAATGGATAATCCTTGCCTGATTAGAAACTGCCTTGCATTTAATTTTCTCTTACTCTTGCATCCCCCCTCACTGATAACACATCTCTATTCCTACAGACTGAGGTATAGCATAAACAACTGCATGGATACAGCACTGCCCTGACTGTGCCTGCTCTGGAGAGCCCAGGCTTTGTGTAGGAAATTGGTGTGTGCTCATCCAGTAGCAGCTCCTGGCTTTGTACTTTGATAGTAGTTTTTCACATTTTCCATGGTGTGCAGTTCATACCACTTATATTGATAAACTTAAGGATATCAGTGATACTTATTTCTATGAAGTTGAGGGTGTTCTTGCTGATGTGCAAGATGTACAAATGGTGCACGAAACCAAGGGCTCTAGAACTGTAACAGCATTGTTGGTTAAAAAATTTTGGATTTAATTTTGTTTGGAGAATTCAGGTATGAATGAATTGTGAAGTAAAAGCTTTTTTCAGAGTCACCTGGGTGACTGCTGGGCAGGGCATGTTTGCCCCAGCCTTACCTGCACACCAGAGAATAAATTTACACAGAGGAAGAAGAGCCTGGTGCTGCAGGAAGCAGCATAAGTGTTGAAAGGTGCAGGTGTGTGTGTGTCAGATGGTGACACTGCTGTGTTGATAGCTGGGATTTTCCAGAGAGCTGTGCACACAGCTTGGGCTCGTGCTGCCAGCGCAGGTCAGACTTGTTGAGCATAGTACTGGCTGTACAGTGTATGCAGCTGTGCTTGGATCTTCGTCAGAGCATCAGCCTTACCTCAAATGCCAGGCAAGTGCTACTGGTATGTCCTGCACTGAGTTTTTGAAACAGTTGCGAGTGCTCTACAGTAGCTCAGCAGTGGCTACCTCTCAGAAATGGTAAACAAATTCTGGCAATCCTGCTAGATTATCCAGCTGGACAGAATTTCCAAAAGACAAAAAGAAACTCTGAAAATTAGTGGTTTTGTTAATATTTACTGCTCTATAAAAATTGCTGATAATGCTTCTGGTAATGTTTATTGCTCTGCATAAATTGAGAACTCAGGAGTTCTCTCTGTTGTGCCAATGAATGCCATGTTTCCAGTGACCACCCGACTCCGAGTCTGTGTGGACACACACATTCACAGAGCTAGGGAATTACAGCTTGGAAATTCTTTTCAGGCCTGGATTTCTCCTGATTCTCAGGCCATTCCCAGGCTGACAAGCTGACTACAGCTTCAGTTAGGGAGGAAGTCTCCCAAGGTGATAACATGGTGAAAAACAGAGTGGAATTCATAATAAAGATTAACACCTGGTGTCTTTCCCGTGGGACATCCGGACATGCTGTCCCAGGGATGTTTTCCCAGTTGTCCAATGAGCTACTGTCCTGTCCTAGCTGCACGTAACACACTTTAAATACGGGCTGTCCGTACAATAAAGTTGGCCTTTTTTCCCCAAAAGAGGTCCGTGTGTGTTGCTGTCCTTTCTCTCTCTCTGCAGCACAGTAACTACAAGTCTGCCTGTTCCTCTCTCCTACCAGCTGTGCGAAGTCTCGTGCTTCAACAGCAGAAAAACTGCCTTTGATATAAAAGTGGCTTTGGGCTCTTCTTAGCTAAAGACTTCCTGCCAAGGTTTCTGGAAGTGGTCAGTCCTTTGGAGAATCTCATTAGAGATGCCATTTTCAGGGCATGCTACGTGCCAGCCTTAGGTTGGGACCCAGAAGCAGAAGGCAACCACCAGGACACAGCAGCACATGGCTCAGCACACAGACTATTTTTCCAAACATCATTCCACCGGAGCAAGGATTTTGTTGATCCTTGCTGAAACTGCTGCTGCCAGCAGTAATTTCCCTCTGTTGCCTAGTGAAGCTGCATTTTTTTCCCGTTTTTCAACTGGATAGTGCAGACATGTTCTCTAGTCTGTGGTACCTTCCAGTCCCCACAGATACTCTTTGCTCTAGGGGGGTTTCTAAAAAAATTTGGAGTTTGTTCGTGCTTCAGTGATTGAAATATGATAGCCAATTTTTACAGGTGTATGGCTAGCTTGGGGCTCAGGTCCAGGGCACTGCTGAACCTCTGGTGCAGCGTTTGATGTCTCCTGAGGCTTTTTTCCCAACACTGCAGGCTGGGCCCAAAGAGCAATGTGAAACAAAAGCAGGGAGAGAATGTGTATGACAGCAGTGATTGTGCACACCCTTTGAGTTTGTGTCCATCCTTTTCCAGAGTTGGATTTGGTTTTTCTAGAAATTTGTCAAGGAATGTCACCTTTCTGTACTTCCTGCTCCCAACATATACCCACAGATGAGTAAATGTGAAGCTTGTTACATCCAGAGATAGGGCAACAGAGTACATTTTCCCTAAGGCTCTGGAAGCAATAGATGCTGGTGTGGCCACCCAACCCAAGACAGACCTATCTTGTGGAGATGCCAGGCCTTCCTGGCCAGCTGGGGCTCCTAAAGCACTTGTATTGGTGGCCCTGACAGGCATTGGAAAGAGACTTCACCAAAATCGAGGATCTTGATGTTCCCAGTTTGCCAGAAATTTCTCAGCCATATCTGATCCCATATGATCCATGCATATTAGGATTAAAGATACACTCATGACACAGTGGCAATAATAAATTTGGAATTCTCATTTAGGAGCGAGCTAATTGTTATGACAGTCATAAACTGTTCTTGTACCTTCTCTTTTTAATTTAGCTTCTAGGGCTTTGTGTTACAGCAGTTACATGCTTTGGTGATTAGGAAAACAGGTCTTGTACCTTTCTTGGTGCTGGGTTTACACAGTATGCATCTCCTTCAGCTTGCTGTGCTGCTACACAAAGTGAATGATGCCTTCACCTAATGCATCTTGGGATTTTTTTTCCCTTCAGAGAATATACTGAAGAGTGGTAAGATTTTCACTGAATCTGTAGAAATGCTTCTCTTCTTCCCAATATGTAATTTGAACCAAGGCCCCATCTTGTGACCAAAATCTATCCTGGATTCTGCAGGGGAAAGTGCAGAAACCTGCCAGACTCTGGCTGCCAACGGCTGTGTCACACTCGGGATGGAGACCACGTGTCCTTGCAGGCTCACCACTTAGCCATTGCCTTGTGCCTGACAGCACGAGCACTATTTCCAATTAGAAAGTTCTTTATCTTGTTCTGGAAAGTTCTGAATGTCTGCATAGACACCGGCTCTTTTTTGAGTCCTGCTGAGCAGTTATCTGGAATTTCTCATGCCATCAAGAATTAATTTTCTTTGATATATTTGGCAATAGAAAAGGCTTCTATTTTATGCAATTGAGACAATTCTGAGTAAAAGTGACTGGAAAGGAAAACATATTTTTAAAAAATTAGGGCAATAATAAAGAAGCCTTTACAGAAGCTCAGTGAGCTATCTCTTGCCTTGTCTCCTCTTTAAACAGAAACAATTCTTCACAGCAGTCAGATTTATCAAATTCATTCCCCTTGAATGAAATCTAAACAGCAATAAAATTATATATGAAAAATGTAGCAAAAAAAGACAAAAGGAAATGGGTGGATTTAAGTGAATAGTGGTGAATTGCAGAGAGTGCATAAAGCTGAAAGAAACCCTGACAAATCTCTAATCAGAAATGCTACAGACCATAAGTACATCAGGGAGGATTTATGAGATATTGGTGATCAGATTGTCAGTAAAGGCACCCTGTGGGCAGCAGTGTTCAGAGCACCCTTAAGCTTCCCAAGAGCATTGGCAGCTGGTGTCACCTTTGCTGCAGGTAAGGTGCTCCCTATGCCAAACAGCAGTGGGGCTGGCATGGGGTACCTGCCAGAGCAGGGCAGAAGATACAGCACAGCTGATGTCAAACACTATTATAAAGAAATCTTTTTTTTCAAACAAACTTGGTCTTGAATTGGATTAAATAGATAAAAGTAATAATAAATTTTAAAGGCTGTGTAGACTTTCTGTCATTAAAAATATTTCAATACAAAAACTTTTAAAATGGATTAATTTGATTAAAAAGAGACTGTCAGAGCTCTTTCTGTAAAATCTGAATTTGCCATCATAATATCTGAAGGATTGGGCACGAACTGATAATTAAATGATGGTTATTAAATGCAACCCCTGGCTCAGGATGTGCCTGAAAACCTCTTTTCTTCCTAAGACTGTGTCCCCAGCCAGCCCTCTGAAACCTCTGTGGCCACAGAGTGTTTTCAGCAGCTCTCCTGTGTGCTCTTTGCTGTTTGTTGATTTTAACAGAAAGAATTAAGAATTGATCAAAAGATCAATTAAAGAATTGATCAAAATGTAGAATTTCAGTGAGGCTGAGACATTGATTTACAAGATAATACTGCCAGGGTTTTCCACACTAATTCCTTATGCAACGTGCAATCCAATGTTTTATCGGATTTTTAATTAGACTTTTTAACCCTCTTCTTTGAGGAGAGAGACTTGATTGAACATTCACTGGTCCTTTGGCTTTTCCCTGATGATTAAAGTCAAGCAGACACAGGAAGATCCCTTTTCTGGACTTCCAGCTTTTCGGGCGCAGAGGCAGTGCAGCCAATGGTGAGGGGGAGAGCTTTGGCAGTAGCCCTAACTTCACAGCAAAACAAAGCTCCCCCCTGCAGCAAGCAGTTAAAAGCTTAACTTCTGCCTCCAACCATTCCCATTAATGGCTGTGCTTGGTTTTACACCCTGCTTTTAAGTAACCATTGATGCAGCCTTGTCGGGAGGGTGCTTGCTCCAGCTGGCTCTTCCTCACAGCCTGCAGGGAGAGAAGCTCTGACATCCCAAGTGAAACAGGAGCTCAAAACAACCTGAGTGAGATTTAACTTTTTCTACATAGCATGTGCCCTGGGGTACAAGGGGTTATATTCCTTCAAAACATCTATTTGATACAATTATTTTTAAATTCTGTTACTTCCTTTTCACCTCCTTATTGTAAGGAAATGGGTTATTAATGTCAGCAGCAGCTTCAACATCCTTTAGGTTTCATCATTTCTTTCTTGAAATGAGTGCTCCGATGGGAAACTTTTCTTCTGATTTGTGATTTATGCTCCCTTTGGCTCATACTTATTGTGCTTTATATTTTAATGAAGCTAAGAACATCCTTTCCATACCCACGCTTATGAGTGAGGTGATTATTTGGTAAGTTCTGAACTCTTGACCAAGCCTTTAAGACTAACAAGTCTCTTTATTTTTCCTCCAAGATTTTTTATTCTTTATTTTCAGTAATATTTCTTCCATACAGGAAAGGGAATCTGAACCTTTTGTATGAAGTTCCTTCTATTTATCATAATTATTTTTAGTAAGTTACTGGAAACCAGCTAATTGCAGCAGTACTTATCATCAGCTCTGACATACAGAGCAAAGGGATTGAGGAACCTTAATGGTCCAAGTTTTCCATCTGCACCACTGGAGAACAGTCAGGGATGCTGATCTGGATTTTCTTCCAGAAGGGCATCCAGTTTGTTTGTCTGCTGGTTAGTTATCCCCTTATGTGATTTTAGTGACTATCCTGCACTTTTCTCAGGGGTTTGCTGTTATCCTTGTTCCACTGTGATCATACAATATCTCAAATAAAAAGCTAGAATTTTTCCTACCTTAATGTTCAGAAAAGTGAGGGACTGAAGGCTTCTTTAGATAAAAGTCCTCTATTCCTGCTGTTGTGGGGAGGAATGGGTGGTTTTGTTGTTGCTGAAAGCCAGAAGACCCTCTGTCCACACAAACTGCTGGCACTGAATTGGTGAAGTTCATGGGGCAGTTTCCAAGAAGTGTATGACATTGCGTGACCAGCATTGAAAAGAGCTTTTTCATGACAATGTTGCCTTGGTACCTGGCCAAATCCTGGCCAGGTAACGTGGGGCAGCCAGCTGCTTCTACTGCTGCTTGCTCTCAGCTGCAGCATTTGCTGCATCCAGCTCCCCTGTGAGATGCTGTGCTCTCTGCCTTGTGCCTCCCTGGGAGCCAGGGGTCTGGGGCAGAGGGAGAACCATGTCCTTGAAGGGGGCAGAGGAAGCAGAGGAAGCAGGGCTGCCTGTGGGCACAGAGGTCTGAGGTAATGCTGTGGAAAGGCAGCACTGTGCCTGTGTTTTGGTGCCGGCAGTCTCCCCACAGTCCCTGGGCTCGTGCCTGCAAAGCTGCTGCTCCTGTCGCTCCAAAACTGGCTGGCAGTGGTGGCACTTGGGCAGAGACATGGGAACAATGCTATTGTTGTCTCTTGCAGTCACATCTTTAAGAGGAATCACGACTTGACCAAAGCTTGGAAAGGAAAGACAGAGCAGCTTCTCAGAGTCAATGAACATGACTTCACCATGCGGCCAGCCTTTGGAGGTGAGAATAAAAGGGTTCTCTTGATTTTGTACTAATCTAATTGAGAATAATCAAATTATCCAATTAACAATCTAATTAAAAAACAAGCAAACAAACTTCTGTCCAGATGCATCAGTGTGAAGGGAAAAGACTTGGTGCCAATTCAGAGAGGCCTCGTGCTCATTCTCATTGCTCTCTCTGCTCTGTACATTTCCTATATTCCTTCCTGTTGCTGCAGTTGGCTCTGTTTTTGGCTGGCATTCCCCAGAGCTCAGGATGGACGCTCCCAGTAAGCCTTTGACTCTATTGAGTGAGAAGAGGAACAAGCTGCAAGTTTAATATTCACTTGTGGTTGAGAAGTTGCAATGAGTTTTTCAGCTCATGTGATTAAATTGCAAAGTAAAGAACTCATTGGGTGGATCGCAGCCCATCATTACTAGGAGAAAATGGAATACTTTTGTCCAGAAAAAAATCTTGTCTTAAACTCTCATATGCAAATTAAAGAGTGGGAGGGGAGACTTCTGCCGACTTCACTCTGCCTTTGGTCACACCCAGTTATAGGAATGTGCTTGCCTGACCTTTCTAGACTCACTGCTGTAGAGATAAGAGGGTACCTGAACAAAAACTGCTGGAATACCAGTATGGCAATCCCTCTTCTGATTACATTGACAACCAAATCATTCCAGAGCTAAGGACAGAGTTTTCCGTGGTTTTCACTGAATGACTAATGCTTCATCCTTTGCCAGTTGGCCATCTAGGGTGAAGTGCTACCTCTCCCTGCTCAGTGGGGCACAAGAGTGTTGTGCCTTTTGCACCTGGTCCATAGAACAGAGCTGCTCAGACCTGCCCATTCCTGGTGTGGCTGAAATGATGTTTCTTGCCCCTCAGTGCAGGAGTGCTCTTCTGAGAGCACACACCTTGCTCACTATTTATATATATATTTTCAAACTCCAAAGTTTCATCGCTGGTGTTTCCTGCCCCCCAGTGTTATTTACCAGCAAGTTGTAGTCCAACCTAAACATTGGAGGTAACTTTTTTCTAATCAGTGATAAATTTGATCTGCTACTTCTAGTGTTGAGGAGTTTGCCTTAAATTGCCCTCTGTGTGGAGCATAGACATAGATCTCTCTGGGGCTGGTGGGAACACACTGAGCCCTGGGCTCAGGGTTGATGTCTGGGAGCTGGCTTTGGAGGCCCTGGGCTTCTTTATGAATCGGCTGTAAAAGTGTGAATTCACCAAAGTGCACGTGCCTCCCTAAATCCCAGGTATGCCCTTCCATGCTGTAAGGTCAGAGGATGCTGTCTTAGGTTTTATGATCTCTCTTTTTTTTTTTTTTTTTTTTTTAAGCCAACCTCAATTTTTGGAGCTTGGTCCTGATATGGACAAACTGAAGGTGCTGATCTGTCCTCTCTGCAGCTGATCTGTCCTCTGGACAAAAGACCTGCTGGTCTGATGAGTGGGATGCTAGGGCTTCTCTGGGAGGGTATTTGGATGCGCTGCCTTGACTCAGTTGGAGACAGCAGGGGAGCCATGGTGATTTTTAAAGGTTTTTTCCCCACCAACTGGATCTATGTCAGGGCATCGTGCCTGTTTTGGGGGGAAGCTGTGGGGTTTTGTTCTGTTGTGCTGATGAATTGGCACCCAGTGGCACCACTGCACTGTATTTCTGGAAACAGGTCTGAATTTAACTGTTTTCATCAGTGTCACAGGGTCCTTGAAGAACATATTTGAGCAAAGGTAACACCAAACAGACATAATTACATAGTCACTCTTCTAGTCTTAATGGAACTGCATTTAATCTCTCTTTTGCCTTGTTTTCCCATGCTAACCCCCATCACAGCATCAAGATTCTTCTAGAGCCAAAATTTGGAATAACGTTTATATAACTGAAAAATGCCCTAAGCGCCTTTGCTGAGAAAGTTCCTTTTTTATAAAGGAAAAACATGATGTTTTTTATTAATTTTTTGCTTAAAACCTCCTTAACTTGCAGACATTCTTGGAACAAAGGTGTGGTATTAGCAAAGTTATACTGAAATTGCATGTAATGAGGAGCAAAGCATGGAAACAGCTTTGTTGAGGTTCCAGCCTTGGAAAGTCTGACTCAGATGCACAGAGATGGTGGGTGCTACAGGTTCTTGCTCAGCTGCAGAATTGCATGGTGTGTTTTTAGTGACAAATGATAAGCCTAATGGGAAAAAAAACATAAAGGAAAGGGAACAAAAGTCTGATAAGTGGTGATCCTCATAGTTTTGTCTGTAATGTTATTCGTCAGGCAGTCACAGTGATTTGCTATGCACCATGAGTCCTTCCAGCTTCTTGCTGGGGCAATGTCACTCAGATTGATGTGGTCTGACCCGTGGAGGATAAAAAGGCTCTTGTACTGCAGAAGTGGAGAAGAGGAGCCTGTGGGATACTCGTGGCTGTAACTGGTCACTGCCTTAAGACCCTCTCTGGTCCAATTGTGATTCCAGCTCTGCTGCATTGCAATGGGCCTGTGATGTTACCTTGCCAGTGGGAAAGGCGTCTCACTTCTGGAAAATTAGAATAATACCATGAGTAAATAGTGAGTGGCATTAGGACTAAAAGAAACCCAGTTGATGGTTCCCAAGTTTGTTGGGCCAGCCTGCAACTCAACCTTAAGCTAAAAGAGGACAGGATATAAGCTGCTTTATGGTGGCCACGGTGGCTCTTGCTGGTGTGCACAGGATGGTCAGTAACACAACCAGCCAGCCCAACACAGCTGTGACTGCTGGGCAGAGCAGGCTTGGGTTATGCAAGGTGAAAAGAAAAAAAACCACAACAATATTAGAGAAAGGTGAAGGGTGTTTCAAGAGAAAGTATCTTTGTAAAGAGCAAGTGGGCAAACAAATGTTGTGTAAGTTGTGTTATTAACAGCCCAATAAGCACGCCTGTCTTGCCTGCCCTCAGCCCATTAGAGACAGGCAATTGTGTACAGAGGCAATGACAAAGTTTTTTGCTTTGTTGATGGTCAAAGAGCCTCCATAAGCTAAATGAGACTGCAGGGTTTTTGACCCTTAGGGAGTTATCTCCATGACAGTGACCTTGTTCTAGCTAGCAGATGTTCAGGTATTACTTACTATTATTAATATTTAAAGATTATGTAAATGTTTGTTTTGCTGCCTTCCTTAAACACCCATTTTAAGCATTTCATTTATGACATCTCGTATTTTACAGGGAGCCTGTGAATAAGCAGCTTTAGTTGATACTTAAAATAGCTGTATCTTCTTTATTGAGGACCGGCCTAATGCTTTACTTTTATTATATTTGCTCATAGCCAAGTAGCCTAACGTCAGCTGGTCCTTGCTGCCCTTTCTGGGCAGTGCTTTTGCCAGGATGGATGAACGGTGGGGTGAATAAAGCATGAGTAGTTCACGGAGTGCTGGTGACAAGGGCTGGGATAGAACTTGCTTCTCTGCTGATGAGCAGCCGTCCATGAGCTGCAGAGGGACAAAGCCCTGCACTCATGAGGCAGGTGATGAACATGTCCTGGTGCTGGCTGCCTGGGAGCTGCCCACACCTAAGAGGTCTCAATCAGATATGCCTTCATTAAAAAGTAAATATACACACACACACATATACATAAAAATACACTGAAAGCTGTTTTGCATCTTGCAGACCTGGGATCTCTTACAGACGTTTGCAATCTCTCTGTGTGTGCATGAGATACCTGCCAGTAAAGAAATCTCAAACCTTTTCATTTCCCATGTACGTATTGTTTTCTTCATCTGCCTCTCTCCTTCAAATATTAGATGAGTGGACACTTGTCTCAGAGAGAAACAACAAGCCTTTGAAAGCACTGCCAAAGAGAAAAATTAAAGAGATGTCACAAAGCTTTAGTCTCAGAGCTGGAGTGAAAACTGAGTCCAGGCATCTTCATGGTAGCATGCTCTTCCCTATCTTCCAAAGCCTGCTCCAGTGTTCAGAAATAAAAAACATGTTTGTGCCCAGTTCCAACTGGGAACTGACTCACACTTTGAAGCTTTCCTGCTGCTCCCTGGTTGGTGTTTTTAGGTGTGGAGACACACTGGGATGTAACAGGCTTTAATATTAGCCTCCTTCTCAAGTCATTCCTTCACAGGACTTGTGGAAACCTCCTGGGTTCCCCGGAGAGGTTAGCCCAAGGCCAGACATCCCATTCAATCTGGGGCAGGGTTTGATACTCAAACTGTAATTTTTGAAATATGAAACAAGCCACAAAGTCTTCTTTGTGTGAGAACCAACCCAAAATTCTATGAATTTGACTGATACTTTTCAGAGACTCTAAAGTGTGATCTGAAAATCTCTGTTGGACTGCATGCTTTGAGCAAAGCAGCACTGCTCCCTTTTATGAGCTGTATCCCCAGCTTTCACATGGATCCATTTAGCTTCCTGTCCAGCAGTGAACATCCTAGAGAGGAGCCTGAGCTTTGACATCTCTCCAGTGTTAACATGTTCAGGTCTGCTATTGCTTATAATTGTCTAGGATGATCCTTCTATATTTTTTCTTTCTGAGGAAAAGATGACTATAAAACATTGTTTATGACAAAGAAAGACTGGTTGATGAGGGCTTTTTTGCATCTAATCAATCAAAGTTAATTGTTCTGTCTACCAGTTCAGTTTGTCATATACCATCTGAGCTGTTCTTGTTCCTTTACATTCAGACCCTCATCATACTCTGCTCTCTCTCAATACAGAGGATTTTTTTCTTTTTGCTCATCCCTAGTGGCATTTGATGAGGAATTTGGCAAAACACCCTGAGCCTCTGTGGTTCAACTGTTCAGTTTCCAGAGGGACAGGATTAAAAAGCTAGCAGTTCCTAATTGACTCCACGGGTTAGTGAGATCAAAAATCTCCTGACATTTCTCTCTTAAGTGATCAACAGCCATTTAATTCAATGGTATGTGCTGTAGCCAACATGACCTTCAATGAAACCCAGGGTTTGTTTCCATGGTTTAAAGAGGTAATTTCTGGACAGGGCTTCTGCTTTGCTTCAGAAGCTGCATGCACTTTCAATGTTGCTTGCATCAAGTACCTCTGCAAAACAGCACCTGACTTGAAGTTTTGTAGAGTGATGGGCAGTGTGAATATGCAATTATCATTATCACTTATGCTCATTGCTGAGGGCAGGACTTGGTGATCATTTGATTCCTGTCACTACCTCACAGGCAGCAACATTTGCACTGTTCCCACTGGCCCTTCACTCACCCTTCCCTGCTCACTCCAGGTTCTAAACCTCCTCCAAAGGGTCTTGGAGTCTCAAAGTATCCTTATCGCATTTGTGTGCTCTCTCATTGCCTCAGCCCCAGATGCTGATCAAGGGAGAAGGAAAAAGCAGTGATTACTGCTGCTGATTGTAGTAGGAGTTTCCCAAAAAAGGCAGAGTAAATATTTCTGCTGATAAATTGGTTTTACAGACTCATCGTTACATTTCAGTATTAAGCACTGTGTTAAGTCCAGTGTTCAAATAATTTCTCCCTCTCTATTACAATCACTGTTTTATCATCCCCCAAATTTGTGATTAACTGGAGAAAAGACACCTAATCCAGCCTTGGACCTCTTCTTTCAAGGGCTTTCCAGACCATTCAGCTTAATGTGTAACACCCTTTATTTTGGATTTAATAAAGCTTTGTGTCAGCCCCACACTGAACCTTAGGTTTTGTCCTTGCAATGAGATAACCGCAGGGTTTTCAGTGTTTGATGCAGGAACATGAACAAAGAAAAGAACACGGTGTTTTATCTTCAAGGACAGATAGGGAAGGAATAGGAAAGAGGGACGGATACGAACTTGGCAGCGTTCTTATGTTTATGGGATTGATCTTTTAGTTGTTTTCTGTTGTTTTTTGGGATTTTTTAATCTGTGATTAGTGTTCAGAGAAGCATAGAAGTCGCAGCAGTAAATAGACTTTGCGCGGGTGTTGATTTCCTGAATCGAGGCTAAATTAAGGATTCGTACACAGAGAGTCTCCCTGGCAGTCTGGGACTTGTGGGGGGCTGCCCAGCTGTGTTGGGCACACAGCCCTCGGCTTGTGCTGTTTCTCTGTTGATCGTACTGCATATCAAAATGTCTCTTGTCACCACAGATACAGTGCTTTTTGCTACCTTTAAAAAAAAAAAAATTAAAAAAACCCAAACAAACCAAAGCATGTTTTACCGAGCAAGATAAATGTCACGGAAAAATTATTTCTCTTGATTGCAAATGATTGTTGGCAATTTTTTAAAAATATGCAGTGCACAGCTGTGTGTCTGCATGTGACATGTAGGTGTTTGTAAGCATCTCGGAGTCGTCTCAAAGTGCTGGGTTAGCCCTGTTTGAGCTTCATTGCTGGGGGCAGCAGTAACTTAGACTGGAATCAGTGGTTCTGAGGAGCCCGGTCCCACTCCCCTGGGCTTGTTCAAGGTGCCTGTTCCCAGCACAGCTGCTGACAGACACTGTGGGCATAACAGGCTGGGAGGGGGCAGTGTCACTGTGAATGTGCTCTGCTGTAATCAGGTGAGGCTGGTTTGTCAAAGCCCTGGCAAATCTGCACTGGGGCTGGTCACAGCTTGTCTCATGGGCATGAGGATCAGCCTTTCCCTTCTGAGGCTGACTTGGTGCTTTTTTCTTCTCCAGCAAAGGCAAACATCAGGCTATGTTCAAAGGCCCTGAAGATGTGTGCAAGTCTGTACTTGCTGCTGCAGGTACAGGAGAAGGATGGATAGCAGCTTGCAGAAGTGTGGTGCTCTCTCAGCAACATTTCTGCTCTCTTGTTAGGCTTGTAGTGTATTCACAGCTTCGATGTGGTCTTGAGGAAGATGCTGCTCTAGCTAAATGTATGCATGCAGCAGACTCTGCTCTTTGTGATGCTGCAAGTATGGGTCTGAGTCCACAAAGGGATTGTGGTCCACCTTATGTATTATCTGACTGCTAATCAGGTTCAAAATCTAGGTGCTAAAAGTCTTTGCAAATCTTCGTGGAGGTCCTTGGAAAATTAATTTCTGCTGGACAAGTCCCAGACATGTCTGCTTCCTTTGGCTTCCTTCTGTGTCACTGTCAGTGCCCAGGCTGCAGACACGCCCTGGACAGAGTTGTATGTGTGAGCCCTGTGAGATCCACTGCCCCACACTGAGAGCACCAGGCAGCACTGGATCCACCTGGACTGCTCCTCAGCAGTTCCTGCTCAGCTGCCCTGCTGGATCATGCTTGGTGTGCTTGGCTCAGTGGGCACTTATCACCAGAATTTGGGAAAAGCTGCATGAGGGCACACTATGGGGAGCTTGAGTCATCTGAGCAGGTCCTGGTCATTAATGACCAGCAGTGTACAGTGAAGTTCTGATACAGGCTTTCTAGTAATAGAGGAGTGTGCATTCATTGTGGCATGTTTTCTGCTTATTTACTCTTTGTGAACTCTCTGGTTGCTAATTTTAAAACTACTGTGGAAAACCAGCAATATCGTCAGTGGGAAATATGAATCAAAATGGTGATGAGCCCTTGAGAGATTAGTGGCTTGCCTTGTTGGTAAAAAATGAGAAACGTCCAAGGAAGAGCTCATTACTTGCCATATCTTCATCTCATTCTCCTGTCCTTGGGGCTAAATTTGTTCATTAAGGCTAAAATTTAAGATGGGATATCTCAAGTTTTAAAAACATAAGCAAATGTTTCATCCAAGCTCTGGATGAAGTGGCAAAGTGCCAACATTGCAGCACATGCCAAGGGGAAGATAATTCAATGTTTCAAAAGGGCCCTTACATGGTTATTCACTATCTCTTTCCCCAGCCCCATTCTGAAGAACCATTGACAGAAATGTGCAACATAAGCTCAGAAATGTTTGCATGTCATCTTAGAAGTGCTAATTAAATGCAGATGATATGAAAGAGCATTTATATTTACATATCTAAATCTCATTCTCTTTCAGGCCCTGCGATTCCTGTTGGGGTGGATGTGCAAGTTGAAAGCTTGGACAGTATTTCTGAGGTTGACATGGTACGTAATCCTTTTCTAAGCCTCAGTTACTTCCAGTCATAAAAAGACCTTCTGACTTGAAACCTGTGGGCTTGTAATCATTGGTCAGATGAAAGTAATAGCAGTATCTCTGAAATTCAAAGAGGTTGATAATCAGAATCAAAGACTTGATAAAACCAGATGATCAAAGTCTTACCTCTCTACCTCCAGATAAAGATTAAAAGCCTGAAGAGAAAAGGGACCTTTAATGGGAGAATAATCAGTACTGTGAAAGATCTATCACAACTAAAAATAAGCATAAGCAGCTGCATATGAAAGTTTGAAGCTATATGGTAAAATTCACAAAAGCTGTGTTTGCTGCAGGAGTTTTCTTCCTTAAGGAACTATTCAATTCACATGAGTGCTCACACATGCTTTACTGTTTGGTTTTGGGTTGTTTCATGGTGATTTTTTTTTAAATCGTAGTAAAATGGAATAAAAACCTCTTGAAAGAGAAGTGGAAAGGGGAACATAGAGGAAAAGAGGAAGCTTCTGGGCTCCTTCCTCTTTCTGCCTTTTCTTCCCTGTTCTTGTGCACCTTTTGTGGTCTAGACAGAACATAAAGACAAAGGAAGAGCTTTAGTTTAGGTGCTTTTTAATGTGGTGCAATTACATCTTCATCTCATTTTGGAGGGGTTGGTTTAGATGACCTTTGAAGGTCCTTTCCAACTCAAATTATTCTATGTTCTGGGATTGAACCCAAGCAGCTTGCCTGCCTGGATATTGAAAGAGAGGGTTTGGGGATATGCATGCAGTGAGGTGTAGGAGGGAGCTGTGAGCACAGGAAACGGCTGCCAGGAGAAGAACAGGGGCTCTAATAGATCAAGATAATGTCAGAGCAACAAAGAGGCCTAATTAGTGCAACTACATAACTCACAATGCTTTCTGTCAGGATTCAACAAAAATCTTGCCTGTCAGAAGCCTTCAAGGTCTGTTCTCTCCCTCGGCTGTTGGTAGCTCCCATTTTCCCAGCTCATGACAAATACTTTCTACAGCAGTTGCTGACATATATTTGGGGGGTAAGAGTGTTCTCCCAGGTCAGTCTGAGTTATGTTGGGGTGTTTTTCCAACAGACTGTCCCAGATGGGTGTCTGCAGGGAGGAGAGTAGGCAGTAAGCTCTCTGCATGGCCAGGGGACCAGGGCTGGCTGTGCCTGCAGCAGGGTGCCCTCCTTGTCTCCCCACTGCAGGCAGGGCTTGTTTCAAACTGCTCTGAAGCAGCCTGGAAAACCAGGTGCCCAGGGCTGGGCACTCCTTACCTATCACTGCTTGAGCAATGGCCTGGTACCCCAAAACGGATCAGACTGAAGCATTACCAGCTGCAACCCACTGCACCTGCAAGACTGTGCATGACAGTGAGAGCAGCCAGGGGCTCTTTAATGCATATGGGTTTAAAACCCATGCCTGTCTGGTTCATGTGGATGGGCTGTTGTTTTGTGCAGTGGCAGGACACGCTCTTGAGGCTGCCTGGAGCGTGGAACAAATGTGAAATATGCTGCCAAAATTGAGGCACTTGTGTAGACTCATTGGCTGTGCCTCTGGCAGGAACTATCATTCTCCCAATTTGCTGTAAAACCTTGTTTTCCAAGGGACTTTCCTATTCATGAGTGCAGAAATAAACCACTTTTCTTGCTTGTAAATATTGTGTGTGCTGGTCAGAAAGGGACAAGCGGTCAGCACACTGCCTCTTTTGAATCATGCCGTGAAAAAGTCTCCTAAATTTGGGTTTTATACTTAGAAGCTGTTGTCAGCTGCCACTCTGTCTCTGTTTGCAGTATTTGGTGTTGGGCATTGGAGAGAGAAGAGAGTTGGCCATTGAACAGCCACTGTGTTGGCTATTTGGAGAGAGAAAGGGGCTGATGGTGAAAGATGAGAAGTTCCTGTCTGGTAACGAAAGAGGTGGCCTGGAAAGCAGTGAGGTCCTTCCTGTGCTGTGCCTTCAGACAGTCCCTTCCCTCCCTCTGTGGTGGCTGTAAGCAATGCTGAAGGTGCCTGGCTGATGGTCCCTGCTCCCCCATGCTCTGATGATGGAGCTGCCCAGAGGCATTCTGCAGCCACAGCCTCAGGCTGCCTGGCTTTCCTGGTTTTGGCTGGGATAGAGCTAACTTTATTCTTAGTAGCCAGTACAGAGCTGCTTTTGGATTTAGTATGAGAATGATACTGGTAACACAGTGTTTTAGATGTGGCTCAGCAGTGCTTACCCTGAGTCAAGGGCTTTTCAGTGTCTCATGCTTTGCCAGTGAGGAGGGGCACAGGAAGACAGGACAGCTAACCTGAACTGGCCAAAGGGACATTCCACACCAGAGAACATAGAACATCATGCCCAGTGTATAAACTGGGGGGAGTTGGCTGGTCACTGCTGGAGGACATGCTGGGCATCTGTTGGCAACTGTATCGTGTATCACTTGTTCCTCTAGAGTTTTGCCCCTCTCTCTCTTTCCATCTTCCTTTCCATTACTTTTCTTATTACTATTTATTTCATTTATTAAATTGTTTTTATCTCAACCCAACTTCTTCTGAGTCTGCTCCCCATCCCGTTGGCTGGAGGTGGTGGGAGAGAGGAGTGAGCAAGCATCTGTGTTGTACTGAGCCACTGGCTGGAGTTAAATCATGAGACTGGCTCTCCTCTCCTGGAGCCCCATGTCCCTCTATCCCATGTCATTGTCAGGCTCTTCTTTACTCCTTTTTTTGACTTCGACTATAACCTGCTCTAACTCCTAAGAAAGCAGCAATTGTTCCTCTTCTTCGGTTTCCTTTTTCCCAGCTCTAGTCAAACTGATGTGCTTGATGTCTGGCCCCTGAGGTTGACTCTTCTAGCTAGGTTGTAACCTAAGCTCTGCCCCTTGCAGTAGCTGCTGGAAGTGTTTCTTTGGGACTATAGATGTAAGGGGAAGGTGGCCAGTGTCCAGTAGGAAACGGGAGTTAGCAGCATCCCTGGGATGAGCACTGAGAGAGCCCGGGACCAGTTTGATAAGGTGGAGACCTGCAGGTGGGTGAGCACAAGTGTCCCCCTGGCCAGTCTCTGCCATGGTCAGAGAGGTTGCTGTCTGGCCAGCTCTCTACTGTGCCAGGCAGCAAGATGAGGACTGGCACTAGAGCCTTCTTTGGCAAATGAGAAACCTACTGGCAATGCAAGGCTGTTGTGAGACAGCCATTTGAAGCAGAGTCAGGGTAACTGATTGTCACCAGTCACCAAACTGGTTGTGGTTTGAGAATGTGGTTAGGGAGAGACTCTGGTCTGTGTTGCTACCTGCTCAGGCTTAGCAACTGCAGCTCCCATAATCACTTGCTTAATTGGGAATATAAAGAAAATAAGTCTATTTGATCTCCCAGTGTGAGAATAGATTCAGCTCTACAAGCTGCAGCTGCCAGGTTGGGATCAACAAACAAATGTTTTCCTTTATGTGATTGAAACTCCTGCTCCATCAACAAGCCTAAAAGGGAACTTTATTTACACACTTATATGGTAAGAAACACAGTTCCTTCACTTGGTTGCTGTTTGCAACAATTTAGTCCTTCTGGGGATAAATTATTTAGTGTTTAGCCTGACCATTAAGCTAACTTTCTGTTTTCCCTCTTGGTTGTGCTATTGGTACCATAGTCCCGTAAAATAATTTTGCCAGAATTAAAGAATAATTTCTAGAGGGCATTGCTACTCTTGGGCATATTTATATCCTGTTTGGGACTGAACATTACTGGGTACTGTAATAAATTCATTAGTCGGCTATGCTTTGTTTTGGCTGAAATTATTTTGTCAGGAAAATCTACTGACAGACAGCATTGACCTAGAAAAGAATTAGGAGTTGAGAGTGGAGAGATCTATCTGGTGGGAGTGAGTTTTCTTTCTAGTGTGTCCTCGTCGTAGAGTGCAGCACTGACACTCCTCCTTTTTTTGGTTCTCTTCCCTTTTTTGAAGGATTTCACTATGACCTTGTACTTAAGGCACTACTGGAAGGATGAGCGCCTCTCGTTTCCCAGCACCAACAATAAGAGCATGACCTTTGATGGCAGGCTGGTGAAGAAGATCTGGGTCCCTGATGTCTTCTTCGTGCATTCCAAGAGATCCTTCATCCATGACACCACCACGGACAACATCATGCTGCGAGTGTTCCCTGATGGGCACGTCCTCTACAGCATGAGGTAACAGAGCCGCCCTGCTTCCCCTGAGCATCCCCTGGGGCTTTGCTGCCAGTTTTCCTCTAGGTTTGGCTTTGGGGATCACCAGGATTGCTACTCCCAATCCTGCTACTCCCACTGCTGATGCAGAGCCCCGTTTCCAGAATGTCCAGTACAAAATGCTTTGCAGGGAGCTCTGAGAAACCATGTTGTGAGCAGTAACAGGATAATCTCCTACTGGGGGAAGCATGCCCCCAACTCTTTGCAGTCAGTGCAAGGCTTAGTCAAGCAGGAATGTTCATCCCAGGGTCAGTGTGTGATTAAACTGGAAGCTGCTGATATACCAGATGGTGACCTCTATAATTATCCTATTTTCCTTCTTGTTTGTCTAGATTTTTTTTTTCAATTGTGGTGCTTTGCTGTTAATGTAAATGTTTAAGTTTATTGAAGCTGAAATGGCAGTATTAAAGACATCCTGGTATTCCAGTAGATTTGTTGGCTGGAAGAATCCTGAGAGATGCCTGTCATGGCCTGGAGGGTTATCCATCCTGCAGGTGTACACCAATCGTGCCTATGGGTTTGCAGGATTTTGTAATACACAAGGACATGGAGGCTAAAGCCTCTAAACTTCTCTATCTTATTACAGATTATCAAAAATACCACAAAAATCACCACTAGCAAGTAAACTATACGCTAAAATCACCACTGGCAACTATATCCATTATTAATAAAGTGACTATATATCCACATTGCACTATAGCAAATTACTATCAGAAATCAATAATTTAACATCCATCAATCATGTGGCAACAGCCAATAACTAACCAGGATATTTACTGCTACAGGTTATGTTAAATTGGTGGAGCAACTCATCCACAACATTCCCTCAGGTACACTTAGGACAGGTTGCTTGTGTGGGTGCACAGTTCTGGTATCAGTGATACCACCTTCAAGCAATCCCAATGAGCCAACAGATGGAAGGACAAACTGAAACAGCCTCCAAAGTGTGCTCAGAGGGGACCAGTGAGACAGCAGAGTCTCATTTCAGAGATGCTCTGAGTCATAGGGTGTGGAGTCAGCCAGGTGTCCTCAGTGGGTATCCAAGAGGTGGTAGAGAGTTCATGCACTGAATTCAACCTTCTAAGGAACAGAAAAGTATGTGCAGCATGGAAAGGTCTCAGAGGAAGGCTTCATTTTGGATAAAAATTATGGCCTCCTTATGTCCAGAGAGATAAGGTGTAGGATGCCACCACTTTGAACAGGGAATAGATGTTGGTAATTTTTATTTCTCACCTGTGACAGCCAATAGATAATGATGTTTTCTATTCTCTCAGATCCTTTTTTATTTCCAAGAACATTTCCTGCCTTTTCTGACAATAAAATTCTTGTTAAATCACTTTTTTTTTTTGGCAGTTATTGAAGGTATTTCAGGATATCTCCAGTTTCTAGGTACCCTATCTGCATGTCAAAGAAGCCAGCTGTGCTTCTCAAGGATTTGTCTTGTTCCCAAGCTGGGAAGCCTTTCTCTGCCCATATTTTTCATCAGACAGTTTTTTTTGCTCAGTAGTTTCTCCTTCTAACCAGGCCCCCTTTTGGCTGCTCATATCAGCATCCCAGCAGATTTAATTTCCTTCAGAAGAATGAAAAAAGAGAAGTGAAGAAAAACACACTGCTGGAGGAGAAAAGCTCAAGAGCCAAAAAAAATGGCTATTTCCCCAGACAGAAAATATGCTCTCAGTTTACGGTGACCTTTGAATATTTTGTAGCCAAGGATTTATGTTCTAGGATCTTTCTGGAACTTATTTGCTTCAGCCATGGTAAAATGATTTTCAAAAACTTGGAAAGGTTTTCTATTAAGTTTATTTCTGTGATCTATTGAGGAGGTGATGTGACTTTTTAATGTTACCCACAAGAGAGAAGTCTGTGAGTTAACCACAGCTGATTGCACAGGAGTTATATTGATGAATTGATACATAAAATCCAAGGAGAAATAAAATCTCCATGGCATTTGGGCCTGGTGGTGTTTAGAACACTCAGAACAATATCCAACTGAAAAAGCATGGGTGTCCAGTCATGCTGGGAATGCCCTCAGATATTGTGAGATGTCTGCATGGGATTGACACTGAACTGGAGAACATTTCATTCCTGTTTTGGGGCCTCCAAAGCCACATGGGCACTGCACAATATGATATTGAGGAATGTCATATTGATGAGCCGAGTTTCTGCTCTGCCCCTGACTAACAAACTGTTATTGACCACAAGTTGTGCCACAGTTCAGGTGACCCAGAGGAAAGAAAGTAACACACTTCAGTGAGGCTGAGTTATAAAATGCTTAAATGCTACACATTTAGGGGAGATCATAGCTGCAGGGTACCTTCTGATGCATATCCTAAAACATTCTTTAAATTTTGCTCGAATGGTAAAATTTTGCTCTAGTTTATATTCAAAATGAACAGCATGTGCCTTTCAGGGGTGATGACTGCGTAGGTCAGGGTAGGATTTGGATCACAATCCCTGGAACAGAGGAAAAGTTCTTTATCAACATCTGCAATGAATCCAGAAAATGGTCACAGCCAACGTAAGTTGGATTCTGAAACGATGAGTCACAGCTGATTTGCCCCCCCCTAAATCAGGAGCTCCACTGCAAATCCGTCTGCAAGAGAACGTTCACTGACCCACTGGAAAATTTCTTACGTAACATTGTGCACAACTGGACTAGTTTAACAACTGCAGCTGTGATTGCTGCAGCTTTTTAGCTAAGACAAAAACTTAACAGAAGCAAATCTCACTTACTGAAAACCAGCTGCACCTGCTTTACAACCCCTGCCCCAGAAATACACCCCTCAGATTAAAAGGGTTTATTGAGAGCTGTAAGAAACTGCTTTTGCCTTAATAATATATGTACTGAAGGAATTCTGTGGCTTGCAATAAGGATGGTCATATTTCTCAGGCTTGGGTCATTCTGGGGGTGACTATGGAGGGAACTGAGCAATGGGGAAAATGTAGAAACCTTAATTAAACGGCACATAAGGGAATATTTAAATGTAAATGGTGAAGTTACTTTACATTGTAGTCTTGTTGGTAAATAGTTGGATATAAAACACAGTGGAAATATCTGCACTGACATTAGTATAACAGTAACGTCCAAGATAGTACATTAGTTCCTTGATAGATATTGAAATTACATTTTTCTTTGAAGTTTCTGTGTATAATCCATCTAGCTTGAACATGGAGACTTGGTAGGCATTTTCCTATGGATTTTTTGCTATCATGCAATATTTCTGCCCTAGAAGATGCAGAATAATGATCTGCAATAACATTCTCTCTTGATTGCTCTTCATAGAAACCAGCTTTTCTCATTTTCCATTTCTAGGGTCACAGTGACAGCAATGTGCAACATGGACTTCAGCCACTTCCCCCTGGACTCCCAGACATGTTCTCTGGAGCTGGAAAGCTGTATGTTGTATCCATGTTTCTAGCTTGATGTGCTCTATGGCTGGCTGCACAAACATTTCACTGGACACATTTCAGAATACTGTCTATTTTAGAGCCTGAACAAACAGTTCATCAGAGTTACTGGGAGTCCTATTGACTCAGCAGCATTGTGTATCTAGTCCTTGTGCTGCAAGACCAGAATTTGCAAGGAACACATCCTATGACACAATCCTGATTCTGCAGACACTGATCTGGGCTCAGCTTCTTTGGTGGAGAAAGTAATGTGAACAGTAAGATTTTTTGTAGACTTTCTCCAGACTAACATCTGGCTGTTTTGAGATTCTCCCTCAATTAACTGAATGCTCCTCTGCAAAAACCAGAATCAGAGACTAATTTTCACTGACCTTGAGGTCAGCTGCTCCAATACCCTGCTGAGAGCAGGGAGTTCTTCATGATGGGTTGCTTGGGGCTGTGTCCAGTTGGGTTTTAAGCAGGATAATTCAGGCTTCACAACTTTTCTCTGCAACGTGCTCAAATATTTGACAGCCCTGATCCTGAAAATGTTTCCTTTTACCTGCTTGGGAACAATCCTTTGCTGAGACTTGCATTCCTTGCCTCTTGTCCTTTCATTCTCCATTTTAGCAAAGTGTCTGGGAAAAAGCTGCTGGCACCTTCTCCATGAGGATCAGCAGGGCAGCAGCAGGACCCCACCACAGACTGCTCTTCTTCCTGAACAAGCCCTGTTCCCCCAGCCTCTTGTCCCTAAGCCTTGTGCTCCTGTGTAAGAGCCAAAAACGAGAGATGCGGGGCTCCAGGAGGCTCTTTAAAATGCTGTTTATTATATCTAAATGATCCAACAATTCACGGGTCATGAGTGACAAGAGCCCAGCCCACAGCCTCTTCAGCCACAGCTGTGGATTCGTCTGAAGCCTCTTTTAGTTCTGATTACAATGCATTATATACTTTTAATTACAGAGCATCTTAATACATGACAACCAATCAATACTTTTACTGTTACCTATAGCCTATCCTAACTACTAACATTACCATATTTATGTTACTATATCTAATCACACAAAGTTAGTATGTTACAGTTTAACCTAGAAGTTGTTTTTCAGTTTTCTTGCAGTGAGAAATTCTGAGATTTTTTTTCTGCTTGCAACATTAGCTTTCTTGTTTGTGAAAATCTTTTTGCTTGGTAAAAACATCTTTTGTTTAAGGTGGATTTATCCTTTGCTCTAAGTCATAAAATCCCCTTCCCACTCACTTGCTCTTTGCTTTCTACCCAGTAAGACTGGCTCTGCAATTCTTCTCTTCTATATCAAAATTTGCTATCATTTCTATTCCTTCTTCAAATTCTACATTCAAAGATCTTTCTGTTACACATACATATTTGTGAGACTTTCCTGTTAAATCCTTATTCTTCCCAACACTCCTGTCCCTGATGATCTTGATAACCCTCTTCTCATTCCCCATTCCTGTTACTTAGTGCACAAATTCTGTAAGTTTTTCATTTACACTTCTAACATATTTCAGAGCTTTTGCTTCTCACCTGTCACTTTTGTTTTTATCATTCTAAGATGGTTTGACTGTCCACGCTTCGTCCTCCCTCTAAATTAAGGTGTTTTACCCATGATTGTTTCCTGAACTATTATCTATTTTTAGTCTATGATATTCAGAAGAGTGCCATTCTAACTATCATTTCAATGTGAAGTAAAAAGAGGATTTGTTTTCTTGAATCTGGATTTTTGTTGTTGTCACAGTATATCATATGACAAGGTCTTTTGATCTCCTTTGCTGTTGGCAATCTTACTTGTGGCATTAGTTCATGCCAAAGACTGGATTTATTAACTTTTGTTGAACCTCTAAGCTAAAGTCACATAACATTGTATTTCTTCTTTCCCTAAGATGCTTACACTGATGAAGATCTCATGCTGTATTGGAAAAATGGGAATGAATCTCTGAAAACTGACGAGAAAATTTCTTTGTCTCAGTTTTTGATACAAAAATTCCACACCACATCAAGACTGGCTTTCTACAGTAGCACAGGTATTGACCTTTTCTGATGTCATGCTACTGCTAAATCTAATACTGTATTAACTGCTTTTGAGGGGGCTCTTGGGATCATGTCACTGAATTGTAGTCTCCACAGTCTGTTTGAAAGCTGTTTCTTGTTTTACTAGTCTTAGAAATAAAAGAACCAAATAAAGATCTAGTGTCTCTGTACCTGCTGTTCTCACTGATCCTGGCTTTCCTCCTCTCTCAAAGGGTGGTACAATCGCCTCTATATAAATTTCACTTTACGCCGACACATCTTCTTCTTCCTGCTCCAAACCTACTTCCCTGCCACTCTCATGGTCATGTTGTCCTGGGTGTCCTTCTGGATCGACCGACGAGCAGTTCCTGCCAGAGTCTCTTTGGGTGAGAACTACTGCAACAAAGCATGGCTGTGTGAAAAGTTTTGAATGTGAGGGTTCTGGCAGGAAAGGGAACTGTTCCTTTTGATGGTTAAAGCTAATGTGCAAGCAAATGGTAGTTTTATCTGATGATTAATATAATGCATAACTTGCACTCTGTCTTGAGTCCATTATTTAGGAGTCTTCCTCACTCATATGTGGCTCAGGAGAGAAAGTGCTGTGGTCTTAAAAACAAAACTGTAACATGAAATGGTACAGCCAGGAAACAGGAGTCCTTGTCACCACTGGTCTTAGGACTAGCTGTGTAAAAATATGTTTTAACATACATATGTTTAACATATGTTTTATGTGTTTAAACCCTGGAGTTTAAGGACGGATTTAAGCGCTTTTTGTTAAATGTGAAATATTGACTACTCTATTGCTTCTCAAAACTCAACCTATCATGAGCACAAAAATGTAGGCAGGGGAACAATTCTGCATTAGCAGAAGAGATACTTTACACACATTTATTTCATACTGAACATCTTTTACAGCATCATGTAGACCATAAGTTCTGTTTTTCTGAAGACAAAGAACCTTATGGACTGTATCAGTCAATAACATTTCTTTCTCTTGGTTCTTTCCAGGGATAACCACCGTGCTGACCATGTCCACGATCATCACTGGGGTGAATGCCTCCATGCCTCGTGTTTCCTACATCAAAGCAGTGGACATTTACCTGTGGGTCAGTTTTGTGTTTGTCTTCCTCTCTGTGCTGGAGTACGCGGCTGTGAATTACCTGACAACGGTGCAAGAGCGGAAGGAGAGGAAACTGCGGGAGAGGGTGAGAAACGCTTTTGTCATCCACTTATTCCTTTTTTTTCCCCTTACAGCTGATCTGGTCTTTATATTGATTGTCTGTTAATGGGAAAACATTGACAACCATGTGTGTAATTGGGTCTGTTTAGACCGCTCCACCTCAGGCTGAATTGCTAACACAGAAAAACAGGATTTGATCTTATAGAAACATCAGAGAAGAGAGTGTGATCTGAACTGGGAAAGAGTGCAGCCTGGAAATGGGAGGGAATGGCAAGAGGGGAAAGTATAAAATCTGATACTTCGCTGCAGCTGCCAGGATTCTTTTTTAGTAAGCTAAAGGTGTTATTTGGTGCAAATTATTTTCCTGTCTCTATAGGCAAATTTACTCTGGAAATTGGATATAATGGATGTAATTGTGGAGGTGTTCCCCATCACCAAGCACAAACAACAGTCAGCCAAGTTTGTTTGTATTTCTTAATGTGCTATGAAAGGTCTTATCCTGCATCCCTGGAGTGTTTCAAGATCTGATACATCCTGAGCAGCTTGGCCCTGATGTGATCAGGACATAGGACTAGAGATGCCCTGAAGTCCTACAGACCTCTAGGCCCTTCTTTGTGATTAAACAAAGCACCATTGCCTTTTGAATACTAAGGCTTGGGACCAAATTTTTTTCAGTGCCCATGCACCCAGAGCATCACCATGTTTTATAGTTTCTTTCTTCCCAGTAGGAACTCACCTCATTGGTCTACTGGTAATACTGGTAACCTACTGTCTTTTACTCCTGGAGAAATGTGTATAAGCCTGTTGGAAATGCCAATGCAGACATCATCTTTCATACAATTTAAGCATGATTTCCCTCTATGAGCTACTCTTTTGGTTTTGCATTCCTTCTCTTTCCCTTCCTTTTCTACCTATGACTTTCTTGAAGAACAGCACGAGTCCCATAATAGCCCAGCACCTTTCTCAGTTGGCATACCATAAAAAGATACAATTAGATATATTTAAAAAAACAATTTGATAAATTCACCAGACTTCTGTGATGGAATTTTACCTCTCTTCAAGGCCTTCTCAACAGCATTGTGATTCTGGAAAGCTGCTTGAACAGGTCCTTAATTTATCTATGCCTCTCCTAGTCCCCACCTGGGGCCCAGCAGTTCTCTGCAGCACCAGATGGAGATGCTCTGTGCAAGCTCAGTGACTCTAGTGTGTCTGGCTTGCTGCATGTGAGCAGTGGACTGTGGCACTTTAGCCAGCCCTGCTCAGGCATCCCATGCCCAAAGAATATGGTGTCTTGGCAGGTCATGGGAAATAACAAGAAACATCCTTGTTAAGTTTGACTTGCCTAGAACAAACCTTTATTTATTTTTTTTTAAGATGAAAACTCTTCTGTATTTTAACTGCACTGGAGAGTTGAAATGAACTTAAGAGGATTTGTTAATTTTCTGCTAAGTTTTCTGGAATGTTTTGCCACCTCCACTGATGGTGTAGCTTGTTATTTATATCTTAAATCTCCCCTCTATTGCGTCTTATACATTGAATTCTATATTCAGCAAATGCCTTTTTACGACCCAAGGGAGAATATTGTACCCAGTCTTCAAAGTGTGACAATATTATTCTTCAGTAGGGAAAATGGAAACAGAGGAAGAGAGATTATAAATAGCATTATTTGAGGAAGAAGCTCTTGAAGAAGCAGAAGAGACATTTCTCACAATAAATGTAGATCTTGTCAGCCAGTGCTGCTCCCCTATGAAAGACCCCAAAAGTTCTTGTATGAACATGTAAGGCTGCCCAGAGTGTTGTGTCTAGATTAGGAAATTAAATGTGCCAGGGATAAAGACATGCTCTATCTAAAACTAAACCTTCTCTCCCTCAAGATCACAGGAGCTGCTGTGAAATGCCTGTGGCAAAAGATCCATGACCTCATGTTTATTCCCAGCCCATACCTGGGAACTTTTCAGTGCTTGCTGGGCTGAGAGAGGCCAGAGACCTTTCTGACACTTGAATAGTGCTGTCAGCTGCATTCCATGTCCAAGGAGGATCTTGGGCAGTCTTTGAGTTGTTATTATCGTAGACATAGGGTAAAAGCCCTGCAGGGTGAAGTTATGTGGTGCATCTCTGTGTGTACATGCCTCCATGAGGATGAGTGGAATTTTAGGTTCTGTGGATCTGGGTTTCTAGCACATCAGGCTCTCTTGTTCACAGGCTCTCTTGTCATCATATGTGCATGAAGCCATGGGAACTGTAGTCTGACCTGGGGGCTGACAGTAAATCAGCAGAATTGCTTTCTCTGCTGAGTCCTTCAGAAATTATCTTGTTGTTGTAACTGCTGTCCCTCACACCCAGCCACCATCTCCTGACCTGTCAGCTCATGATAAAGAGCCTGATGTGGAATTCTCCCCTGTGCTTTTTTGTTTGGTTGGTTTTGTTGTTGTTTTTTTTCCATTGTTGTTTGGTATTATTCTGGTTTTGGCTGGCATAGAATTAGTTTCTTTTCCATAACTGGTACAGTGCTGTGTTTTTAATTCAGTGTGAGAATAATGTTGTAACACACTGATGTTGTTGCCAAATTGTGTTTATCCTGAGTCAAGGATGTTTTTGTGTCTCATGCTCTGCGAGTGAGGAGGTAAACAAAAAAAGGTGGGAGGGAACATGACCAGGACAGGTGGCCCAAATGAGCCAAAGGGATATTCCACACCACAGAACACACTTCAGTTATGGAACTATTCTTATCTCAGTCTACAAGTTTTACATTTTATTCTTTTCCACAGCCCTCCAGAGTTCAGGGGGGAAGGTGGGTTGAGTGAGTGATTGCATGATGCTTATTTGTCGTCTGGGGTTAAATCACAGCAGTCCCTTTTGAGGAGCTGCACTCTGGTTTTGTTCTGTTTTGGTTTGGTTTTGTTAGTTTGGGGTGTGGGTTTTTCAAAGTGTGCCTGCTTAGAATAAAATATGTCTTAAAATGCAATTGATGTTCAGTTGTATTCATGGAGTGCTCAAAAAAAGTAAAGTAAGCAGGCTACTAACTTGTCATGTTTTTCTGAACGTATCCTGCTGATACCAAATCTTTTGGTTATGCCAAAAATACAGAAAGCAATTATTAAGTTGATTTTAAGGTTTTCAATAAGCAATGTGATGTGTTGTTTAAATAATTTGAAGGAAAAGCCTTGACTGCAGGGTTTTCCAATGGCATCCTGAATATTGCATATTGATGTTATATACATTTTTACATATATATGTATTCAGATATATACATTTGTTTTAGTTGAACATATCCTTGAAAACAAGATCTTGGAAAATCCACACATTAAATATTCCACATTGGTGGAGTATGATTGGGTAAGGAAATTGGTCTGTGGGAAATCTGAGACAGGGACTCCTTGCAGAAAAGACATTTTGGAGTCCATTTTCATTGCATGCAAACACATGATCCATATTGCTGGGACAGGAGAACTGAAGGTTTTGAATGGTTGAAGACTGCATTTCCTATTCAAAATTCTATCTGTATGCCTTGGAATTTTTTAGCCATGTGGGATGCATGCTGATACTGCTGAAATCAATACAAGTTTTGCTATTATCTCCAACAGAGCTAGGATTTTACATTATACTTTTAGCTGGTCCTCTGCTTGGTTTAAAATCAGATTTATGAAGAAAACGAGCGCATCTGTAAAACCAGAGCTTGGCCCTTTTCTTTCCATAACATGTACTGGATAAGCCATTTCCTCAGATTAAACGGCATCTTGTCCATGAATATTTATAAACACAAAGAATGAATAATAAAGAATCTCAAGACAGTAAGGCTGAACAACAGCTAGCTAAGAAAACCTTTTACTTAGACTATATGTCTGCTGAAGCATTTTTCTAATCTTTTCTGAAGCTGCTTATCCAAGCAGTGGAGATAAACCCTGTTTCTTCCTTTTTTAAAACAAGAAAAATAATAAAAAGACCTTTTTGTTCTAAGATAAAATATCTCAATCAAAATTTTGAATTCAACTGTTTATAAGCTGTCTGTTAATAGAAAGGCATCATTTCCATTGCTCACATGTTTTTCCAATATTCAGCTATGTTTCTTGTTTATGCCCCTAGTTTCCGTGCTCATGTGGAATGCCTCACTCGAAAACTATGATGCTGGATGGAAACTACAGTGAATCTGATGCCAACAGCCTGGCAGGGTATACAAGAAACCAGATGGTACCAGAAGAAGAAAAACCAGAAAAGATGGTTGTGCATTTAGCTATGAGCAATGAATCTAATTCATCAAGGAAGAGAGGCCTGAAGGGCCATGTGGGCTTGCGCATCATCCAGAACACTCATGCAATCGATAAATATTCAAGATTAATATTCCCAGGCACCTATATATTTTTTAATTTGATATATTGGTCTGTCTTTAGCTAAGCATGCTGGCACAGCAGTGACTGAATCAGAAGACATCTACAAAACACTCTTTTGTTGGTACTTTTTTTTTTCTAATCTGTACACAGAGCTAGAAACCTGATTATTTCATTGCTTTTTTGAAGGATAAATGGGAGGACACATCCTCCAGGAGGCAATTCCACGTGCAGGCCTCAAGGAGGAACTTGCTGTGCTGGTTGGTTTCCAGCCCACCCCCTTGCTCCTGTGTTCTTTATGACACATGCCATTTCTCATACTTGAAAATACGTGTTCACCATACACCCAAGGGTGCTGGATGCTCACTTGGGGCTGGCCATGCTGGTGGTGCCTGCTGTGCAATGGACAACCAAAGACAGTGCTCATGTGAGCTGTAAGGAATTAAATAAATACAACTTGTGTGGGGAGGGCTGGACAGTGCTTCTTCTGTTGAGAAAATTCCTTTGTTTCTTCTTTGGCATATAAACATAACATTTTCCCATTGTTTTGTGAAGAACACCTCCTTGAAGGGTAGAGATTCTGCTTTCTGTCTGGATAGGACCTTCATCAGTACCATTAGGACAGTTGGTTGGCCAGGATCAGCTGGGCTGGTTACAGGGCACAGGTGGTATGTTTGAGTTAGAGGGGTTTTTTTCTAAACTACCAAGTGCAGCTCACAGACAAACTGTACATCCCAATGTGCCTCTCCCAATCAACACAATGCCCTTCTGTTCAGGCATTTGGGATCAAAAGGGATACATGTCTGCCAGAACCTCTCTGCAGAAGCAGAGGCATGTCAGAGATTAAATGGCCAAGAATAATACTGTGGGTCTAAGGTCAATGTAAGTCCTTTGAAGCTGCTGCACAGCATTGTAACAAGCTTATGTGCTTGGCAGCTCTTTTCCTATCCCATGATATCTCCCTTTCTTTTGCTAACAACACTGACAGCAGAACCCAAATGCAGAAACATGATAGCAACAAGACGGCCATGCTCAGGTTTCTGTGCTCCTTATTTTAAGAGAACACCATGACTTTTTGGCTGTCATGGAGATTATGTGCATCAAAACACTTGTTTACCAAGCTGAAGCTGAGCAGTGGGGGCAGAACTTGAAGTGTGAAGAGCCAGGACTGAGGTTAGAATAAAGAAAAAGCAAACTAAAATCCTGATGTAACCACAATTATTTGTCAGCACATGAAATTTTCTCCTTACCATAGTAGGAATTCTTACATTCTAAATCTCAAGGGATGTAGAAAGTAGCAGAGAAATGTCAACTCTTGACTGTCAACAATACCCAGGTTTTCCTTTGTGCCCGAAATATTACTGCCTAAGTCAAGCTGATGATGGCACCGATTTAGTGAAAACAAAATTGATGAGAGAAGCTAAAATTAAAAACTATGTTCCCCTTTAATCAGCCATGTTAATAACTGACATGAATGGAGTTCTATCTGGTCATAAAAGTAAGGAACCACAGCCCTGAAATTGCTGTCAAGAAGAGGAAGGACAGTGTCTGAGGGGCAGGATTGCCCAGCCTGCCACTTGTCTCCTGAGCCACCAGGTCAGTGCATTCATTGCTCATGGAGCTGAAACCTAGATACTTCTCACATTGACAGGTGGAGATCACTGCAAGAAAGACACAAAAATTATTAAAGGAATAGACCACTCATCTTTTGAGAGGTTAAAGCCTGGGCATAACTGTGCATTCTTCAGCATTAGCAGTTTTGAGTGTAAAACAGGAACCAGTGTCCCAGCCGGCAGCAGGGCAGTTGTAGCAAAGGGACCTTTGCTGGGGAAAGGCAGCAGAACTACACCATGAAGCCACCAGAGAGTTCAGGGAGAAAGAAACTTGGTTCCTGTGCACCCCTGTGTTGCCAGTCTTCGGCATTACTCATGGCACATGCCATTTAACCTTGCAGTGCCTCAGCTCCTCCATCTGGAAAGGGAGGAGCACTAGGATTTGCCTACCTCATAAGGTGCTGAGGGACTCAATAGGCTTAGATAGCACGTGTGTGGGGCATGCCTGTGATTTCTGAGCAGGTCACTCAGTGGGAATCCAATTCTGAATTAGTTACTAGTGAGTTCTTCAAATGCATCCTCTGAAGCAGTCCAGCTGGAAGCAAGCAGGTATCTCTCCAGCCTTATGATGCTATTACAACTCCCCTGCATTGCAATGATATTAAACCAGGGACAAATGTAGAGAAACAGCCAAAAAGTGAGCACTGTTGATGAATAATGCCTCCTGGCATACATAACCCAGGAAATCCTAGTGCTTTACTTCAACATTTCTTTTTATTACACCTCCTGTTCCCTTAGAAGTTATGTAAAGGGCAAAGATGTCCTTTAGATCCTATCGTCTTTGTACTAACAAACCCAGCAGTCTTAATGTCTAATAGGCATCTTTTGGAGAGGATACCTTACTGTTATTTTATTTGCATGTGTACATAACTTATAGAAATTGATGCCTGCTTTTGTCAGCCTGTAAAACCATCAAGAGGGTCTTTTTCTGCTAAAGCAAAAAAAAAAACAAAAAAAAATCCAAAACAAAAAAATCCTTCTCTATCTTAGGCATTGCTTAAGCTCATTATTAATTGAAACAGTAAGTTAAAAGTATAGATGCAAATAAAGCCAAGACTTCTCCTTCGATCAGCTTTATGAATCGTATTTTTCTGTTTATTCAGAGGAGAGTGGCTGGGCATGAAGATAGAACAAATATTTGCAGTGTGGTATTGATAATGTATTTCACCTTTGACTTCCCCTGGATTACAAGAGACTCCATGAGCATTGTGCAACTTCCAGTTGCCAGATGCCAAAAGCAGTGTTTTGAGAGAGAGTGTCTGAAGCTGGGCTCTGAATGCTGTTTGATGGATACAACCCAATTCTGTGAAGCACTGAGCAGATGGACAATGAACCTACTGAAGGAGAGGGCTTTCAGAAGAGCACAGGAGATTTGGGCAAATTGAGGTCACTGATGAAAATGCTTTCTCTGGACAACCTGGTCCAATAGTGAAGAGAGAAAATGTCGACTCTGCTCATTCTAGGTCTCTGTAATTTTACTTCTAACCAAATCATGTCTTTGAGAAAATATAACTATATAGATATGTGCACATATGTATAATGTGTATGCAAGCATAATGTATAACAAAGGAAGACACTGGGATGTGTACCTATGTTAAATAGTGTCCATATGTGAAACTGTAATATATTGTATGTAAATTACCATTTATTATGCCCAGAAAACTTACTATGTTGAACGGAAAAAATGGCTCTTATTGTCAGTCAAGGGCCAAGAAATTAGGCATTGGCAAAAATATGGGTTCTCTTACTTTTTTTTTTCTGAAAAAAGAGGTGTTGAGAAGAGTACAAGCAATGCTGATGCTAAACTTGTGCAGTGGATACAATCCACTGTGCTGATTGCTGTAATCAAACCTGGTAATAAAATAACAGATGGAAAAGGTGGAAAAGAGTCAATTTCATGGTGTGAACTTTAAAATGTCATTTCAATTGTGTTTGGAAATCTGTTACCTATAAGCTGATACCCAGAGGCAAAGGATTTGAATAAACACCTCATTTGTAATTGATTTCAAGTTTAAAAAATTTCAAAAGGTGGAAGAAATGTAGTTGGAAGCATGTGAGTACTTTGAAGTATGCAAAACTCTTTGGGAAAAGGGAGCTGTTAATTACAGTCATTAGCTATGGAGACCTTTTGTGAAAACTGCAACCCACAACTGAAGAAAGTTTAATAATTGCTTTACAGTTAATGGCACATTTTCAAAAGATCAAGTGGCAGGTATGTATCTCAATCTCCCTCTGACTACAAATGAGAACTTGTCATTTAATTCCTGTTTTGTGCCTTTGAAAACATTGTCTCCACACTTCCCAACTGGAAGATAAAATTGTTCCAAGGTCCCAGCTGCCAGATCTCAGCTATTATCTCTAATGCAGACTTATGGAACTAAAATAAATGTGCATGGGTGAGGCTGATGTCTGAACTACTGAATAATGGTTATTGTCTGTCAAATTTCCACAGTGGAGAGATTATAGCAAGGTACAGCCTAACTACGTGAGATACTTAGTTAACCTTGCTGAAATGTAAAGAGCAGGAAAATTTATTTTAAAAACAGCGAGAATTTAGCACTATTAAAATTAAAATGTAATCCAGTCTCACATTAAGCTGATTAATTACTTTGCACAAATGACATTTGAAACAATGTATCAGGGTCATTACTTTCCTGATCAGAGGAATTATCATTTCAGATGAGGAGAGAAGGGAATTTGTGCACAAGCACGGAAAAGGTGCCACTCTTGCCATCCAGCTCTTGTGGAAGGGCAGGAGTGACCACCAGGCTGCCCAGGGCCTGCTGTGGAGGCAAGGGTGAGGGGAACCAACTTTCCCAAGGTACTTGATGCCTGGGAATCACACATCCCCATGTGGCACTCCTTGATTTGGGCACAAAAAGGTTATCCTCTGCCAGGAGGGCTGGGATCCCCACCAGCCACATGAGAGGTGGTGCAGTGCAAGTGGTGTAGCCATTCTGGCCAGAGGTTTGGGCTCAGTCCTGGCCATGTGTGTCATTAGCTGGTCCTTGGCCAGGGTTTCACACAGGAGCCACAGGCAGAGTCCCCTCCATACCAACAGAGAGACAAGCACAGCTCCCTGGTGTGCTCCCACCTCTCGGCTCATCCTGCAGCACTGAAGAGATGGAAACCACATCGTGGGCATGGCATGGAATGTGTGCCCCAGCCCTCCCTCTGCAAGGCAGCCAAGGATCAGGACAGTCCTGCATTGCCCAGAGCAAGCACCAAAGCCCTTAGCAGATAATTTGACACCTGATTTTTAATATTTCCTCCCTTTGAGAAAATGCTGAGGACTCCTTTTGGCCAGTTGTCCAAATTGGACTTCTTCCACAAGTCTTTTAGGGGTCTCTGAGTGTGTATATATGCACTTGCAACCATAGAAATTAGCTTAGGAGAAGTGCCTGGCAACTCAACCCGTGCAAAATGCATATAAATGATGTGGAAAAAAGAAGGAAAGATTTTACTGCTCTACTTGTCATGCAGATTTATAGAAGAAAATTGTGTGTTTAGCTTAGAGGGAATTCAGAGCAGGAAATGAAAGGACAAGATAATTGTAACGACAGTTTGAATTACTTGAACAAATATATTTTGGGAAACGGGACAGAACATTAGAGCTGTAAAACTCTCCAGCCTCCTGGCTCTTCCCATTTTATCTGGATTTTTAT